GTTAAAATCACCATGGTCACCGTGGCACTTTAGGGGGTTCACACATGATTGACAATTCCCAACATGTTTTGAATCTGAACGGTGTACATTATGTTTCAACTTGGGATTCAAGCTTCATCTTTAAGTGCTGTAATTGATGCTGATTGACGGTTTCAACAAGGATCTTGAATGAATTCAAATTGCTTACCAAAGTATTTGTGTTGTATTGAGATCCTGGGTTGAGATCATTGGTTTGTGTTATTGCGCCCGCAACGTCTAATTTGATAGACCAGTGACGATGTCACAGTTTGTTTACATAATGTCGGTTCCATAAATAATTATTATTCATATCGTCCTTGGCGGGTTATATATACGCTATTATGCCAGGTTACAGCATATGATTATGGACACTCTAGAACGCCCATTTGCCATTTAAAAACAGCCATGGAACAACGTGCCTCAAAAATCGGACCAAGGGACTAAGGGATGTAAAATTTGAAATCTGGGGGAGGGCATGCCGAGCAATGCATTTTTTCACCCTATCATTGCTTTACAAATTTGTTTTCCCTCTTGCTGGAAGATAAAATTGTTTCTATACAGTTGCATATTAACATTTATAATTAAAAGTTTCTGTTGTCACGTGTTGCAGTGATCAGGTGCACGTGTTGCAGTGATAACAACCATACATTTGATGTTCAAGCCAAGGGAATACACTAATATACAAATGAACTTTCTTTTCAGAAGTTCCATACTTCTTTCAAAGTTTTCTACTTACCGTTGGAAATCAGTGAGTACTCAAAGACGTTATCAACAACCAGCTTTTGAGTTTAATACCAAAGTTTCATCTCACGTACATTATACAATTTTTTTATAATTACTATAATTACTATTTTTTGGCGTTACAATTATTTTGCTGCAAGAATGTTTTTTTTCGGTGACTTTCACCTTTTCAACCTATACTTAGAGCACTGAAACTAGGTAAATTCAGGAGGAAGGTACCCGGATAGACTGAGGAGACATACGACACATACGCGAATCTGATTGGCCGTCATAGTCAAGAGGTATAATAATATCCAATCACCGCACAGTTTTGCTGTCCCAGCTGTCAATCTGTTATTTCACATTTATATAGTGTAACTGACATATTACTGTTTGTTATCTTAGATTGTTTTAATCTAGGCTTGGAAGAGGTTTCAAATGATATAATGCCTGTTATTGTATTTTTATGGAAACTGTCGCAAACACTTTTTGCCTAATATTCGGTCAAAATATTATTTTGTACCACACAAAATACCGTCGTTGACTGCTGCCTACTATGCATACTGTTAAATACTAATTTAATATTAAATATTGCCAAGCCTTTTTTAACAAATTCCATTAAGATTATAAGTAGGTCTCTACTTCACATAAATGCATTAAATCGCTATCAGTGTTACGTATGAACCGCATAGAATAAGAAGATTACTGTTCAAACTATCTCTCATTATCAGATTATGTTTAACGCCCGAAAGCCACCACTAAAGTTTATCAGAGAAGAATATTATTTCTCAGACTAGCTATCTCCTAGGGTTAAATTCACATGCTATTGTATGTAATGGAATGGAAGAGGCGATATAGTAGTACAATGCAATCAATGTGAAAAAAAGAATCCCATCAGTTTTTTAGAATCTAAATCACATATCTAACGTCTACACAATCCCCTGTTAATCATTGTCATTGTGTATGTATACTATGTCATATAAAACACATAGCGGTAAATATCATGTAAGACATTTTCCAAAGAATCTGTACAATTTATTTTGAAAGAGAAACACTACATAAAAAAATATGTACAAGTGGTGCCACAGTGACCACCATTATACTTTATAGAGGCAATGGAAATAACTTCGAGTATTTTTGTTTATGTTTCAATAATTGTATCTCGAAAAGAACAATATAACGTGATTTTTCGTATAATAAAAATGTAGTTTTGGCAGCAAACATAGCAGTATTCGTTAGTTAAAATACAGAAAACTCGAATGTAATTAAAATGAATAATTCATCCAATGAATAGTGATATGTTTAAAAGCAAAACAGTATTATTATTATTATTATTATTATTTAATAATATATCACACCCCAATGTTTAAAACAAGATGCAAAATTATGTAAAAAACATACTTGAAGCTGTCCCTATCGCATCTTAAAAATAGAAAAAATATATTTACTATGTAAACTTGGATGGAAAAAGGAACAAAAACACTGCCACTAAACAGCGTATACTGCATGGTGAGGTAAAAATGTACAAAATATAGGTTTTTTGAGTCTGGACTAATATACATGCAATCTAGATATACTTAATATATCTCAGAGTCTGACAAATTCTCGTAATAGTGAAATGGCAGTACTATAATTATGACAATTCCTAAGATTTGACTGAATTTGGTAGAAATGTTCCCGTGCTCATTGTCGATATTAAAATGAGAGCACGTGTCGTGTTTGAAGGCACACTTATTCACAGAGAGCGAGAGAGACTGGAATGTCAAGACTACAGTAGGATTCAAGTTTGTTAACGCAATATGCCGATGGTGGAGTTCTGTCAACACAGCCTAGTTAGTGGCTTCAAAACGTCCACCACGTAATGTCATCAAACTCTCGGCTAATGTTCTTTGTACACATTTTTAAATAAATTAAAAAAAACATTTGATGAAAAATAACTTTTCAGGAATTCATCCAAAGACACGTCGATATAATACCGACTTTCACCGGAATTGTCATCAATACTCGTCATTACGAGTACTGTAATAAATAAAATGATAATAATGTTTGGTCATTATTCAAATAAAATCTTTAAGTGACTTGATTTATTGTGTTATGTTGACTGTGTGATCCGATATATACTAAAAAGGTCTGTACACAATCTGGACGCCATCCCTAGGGGAAGGGGCGTTTGCGATACGAATTAATTCAGTCGCGAACCCCTACAAATGTGACATATAAAGTCATCCAAATGTTTCCAGACTAGATGGAATATAGAATACTTGTAGTATATTGTCCACTGGATAATGCGGAATTATGGTCTCTTGGGATAGTTATTTGATTCATCTAAATCAAATTACTAGTCGGCCGATCGCCCGACAGCTGAATGTGCCAGTCACAGACTGAGTAGCCACGTTCACATTCACTCGCATTACTGAACACGTTCTTGTCTCTGCTCTAATGAAGTCTGAACACGCGATTACCCAAAAAGAACACCTTAAACTCGGTTGCCATTAACTGAACGGTATTTGGGTGACTAGAAAGAGTATATTTCCAGCGCCATTATCTGTAGATCCTTCTATGGCTTGACAAATTGGTAAACAAGTCGTTGCGAAACGTCAGTTTTCTTTATGATTCCTTTCTTATAATACTGTCTGATGGAACGGCTAAGTTTATCGTAGTTCATGGCTGGTCGGTTTTTGCGTGTACCCCAAAGCTTGGCCACTTCAACGGAATCTTCAATTTTGAAAATACCTATCAAAAACCAGATTACATTACGTTATATACTAGTAGATTAATGTTATTTTGTTCAGTTATATCGATGTTAGCTACTGAAAAAATTACAAGGGAAGTGAGTATATTCGGATTTTGTTTTTCATGACAATGACCATACTCTGACTTTAATGGGTCATTTCCCTTTTTATGTTTCATTTCATGAATACGCAAATAGATGTTGAGCAACTGACCCTGAACGATAAATAGTATTCCAATATCGAAAAAATCTAATTTATTCAAATTTTCTTTTTAATTGAACATGTATTCTGTTTTGTATATCCGAGATATCATCTACCCCGGAGTATGGTACCACTATACCTTCTTCCCTATTTAACCACCGTATACATCCACCGTATCGTTCAGGCTGTAGAAGTAACTCTTTCAAGAACTGCCAAAGATGGATGTTGGTCGTATGATTCGGCGTCATTGATGCATGAGACGCTCCTGGTGACTGTACCGACTCGTCTAAAAAGTATAAAACAAACAAACTTGTATGTGTCCTGGACAACTAGAATTTTGATGCACGAAATAATGCTTATATGGATATGAAATCATGATGACAGGCTACGCACATTTTCACATTATTAATGTAGCTGGTCTTGCTCAACGATTTTGAAAGCATAACATGGTGTGATGAGATATTACTAGCACCAGACCTAGGCGTATAGCGACTCGGAGTACTAGAGATTTATGTTGATTGATTTACCACAATGTGACCATTGGCAATGACAATTACAGTAATCTCGATATTATACATATCATTACTTACCATCACTAGCCGAGTCTGTCCCAGATGTATCCAATCTTGGACTCATCGATGTGTCCATATATTCTTGATCTAATAAAAAGGTCAAAAGTTATTACACGTTTAGATTACGTCAGGTCTACAGGAACGCTGATCACGATTACTCTAAATAAAACGCTAGTAAGATTTTCCAAGAAAGGTGGACGAGTGACAGCGTCTCATCTCGTTGACAAATTAATTTAATTGACAAATGTATTGTTTTTGTTACAAATAACATGAGATGCGAATAAAGATTGCTTACCTTGAAAAAACGTGGCGTTCGTTGTCTGTCGGAACGACTGCTGTTCATTGACATTCATCTTCGCTGCTGAGAACAGAGAAATTGTAATGAACATATAGTCAGTACACCAGAGAAGCGGAAAAAGTAAACACATATGTTATCGAGTTTTACGATTTGAGAAACTTACCGATTCTCCAAATATCCAACTGTGCATGTATAATGTCGCCACAATGGGGCGCCCTCGCCCGAAAGTCGTCTTCCGAAAGCATACAAAGATTAATACCGTTCATTTTAAAATAATCAAAATTAATAGGAGGTATGTTGTACTCGTGTATTGTCCAAAGAAGCCACTTCTCCACATGATCTATCTTCCAATATGTCGGATCTAAGGATTCGATAAAATGTATATAAATTTATTCTCTAGTTCTCTAGTACAACTTTGCAACATTTGAAAATATGCAAAAAAATATGCCACGAACCTGGGTCTCATTCTTAAAGGACGGTAAGCGTCGCGCCATGCATGCGCGAGATATATGGGTCTCATATAAACAAAGATGGCGAATTTGACCGTTGCGCAGATCAACGAGTACAAACTGAGACGTTTCCAAGCTTTAAAGCGCGGTGGTCGTCGCGCAGCGCGTGTTCGAATTTCATGTAAATAAACGAACAGGACGCGACACGACGACTGCCGCCATTTAATTAGGTAATTTTAGGTGATTGGAAGGTATCGAAGGAGTCACCGGTAGTATTCAGTGCAAGTCACGCCCAGGTCAAACCTCATACTTGTAATTTCCATTTGAAGAGCGCAATTGATTGTGTGAAAATCAATGTTTATCAACACAAATGTCGCACATGCGCAGCGCGACGACCACCGCGCTTTAAAGTTTATTTGTTTTCAAATATATCGCGCCCAATAATATGCTACTAATATTTACCAATTGGAAGATCCAACAAACGACACGCCAGGCATACATCTCTGATTACTTCGCGTATAACCAATGAGTGGACTTTCTCCAACTCGGCATCCAATGCCGATCCCTGGTCCATATCACAGTATTGGGCGTCGCTGTATGGATCAGACGCCATGACGTCACCTTCCCGAACACGAACAGCTTGTCGCCGTGAATCTCAGAACTGGAGTCCAGGAAAGCCTCGATTTCGGGGAGGCATGTCGTGGCATCTTGGCTATCGCCACTGTTTTCGTACTCGCAGGGGTAATTCCCCATCTGTAAAAAACACAAAGTCGGTTACTTTTTGATTGTGTCGGCATTGATGTTATGCAATATACAATTAGACTTTTTTTGTATATTACTTTTCTGTCAACAACTGAATATTACCTTCTTGGATGCTTCGAAGAAATAAGTAAATTCATTTCGAGTCAACCCGGAAATATTATTTATTATCTACTCAAACAAGATGTTTTGATTGCAATTTTTTGGAAAGTCAGTTGAAAAAATGTATCCCGAACTTTTCGAAACCTTCCCCGATTTCCTAAAAGGTCAGCGGAAATACGTGATATCCGTACTCCTCTCGTGTCACACGCAGTGCTGATAAAGTGTTTCCATTTTGTTTTATTCCCTGCTTTCAAAGCTCTAAAGTAATCAAAGACAATGATAACATAACTATATATTATGATGCATGTTGTGGTGGAAATTAACTTTTATTAATATTTCATTTCTAAAAAAATGACAGCGTTGGGCAGCATCATTGTTGATCATAACACTGTGTATGTGAAAACCGCGGGAAAGACAACGTTTTGCATAATAGCCACTAACAGAACATGATTTCTGCAAGGATCGACTATGATCGAACTTTGGAAAGTACGGCATCAAAGTCACTAAAACTACAAAAGAATACAACAAAATGAACAGCAATAAAAAAAACTTAGAGAATAAACAATGACCCTTGGTTGAACTGCGATAGTCGTATAGGGCCAGTATTTACGAGTACCACTACTTCTGAATGGCCTTGTATTGACAAGTTCTCGGCTTTCAACCAATGATTACCGGTTTAGTTTATTGTTTACACTTAAAATTCCCCAGGAGGGTTACATAGCAAAAAAACAAACACAGAATACAGCACAATATAAAATACAAATGAAAAAAGGAGTAAACACATCAAATATATCTACGAATTGATATGTTGCTGTCTTGCATCTGTATTTATTTTGATTAAGTACAATGTCTACGTTAATATATTCGTTACTCATTAGAAAATATAAATTTGTAATTTGCATAGAGAGCCGTGAAAATGATATGGGATCATTAGAGAAAACGTCACTATAGGTTGATTTTATTTGTGCTTGTCACAGTGTTCACCGTATATATCGTGATTCTATATATCGAAGCTACTTATAAGTTTGTGGCTGATCGGTTAAAGGGCAGTGGTCGTCGCGCAGCGCGTGTTAGAATTTCATATAAATAAATAATGTATCTTACACGCCCTGTGTACGTCGCTATGAGTCCCATATCAAACAGGACGCGGCACGACGACCACCGCGGTCAAACAGCGATTTGTTTATTGACAACTTTTAACGTACAAGATTCCAAGTTTGACCATGGAAGCTTCTAATACCTTCTATGCTTCGACTCAACTGAATATGGACCTTGATCTTTCACTCAATGTGAAAACGAGGCTGTCAATGACGTCACTGATGCACGGAAGGGATTTCCCCCATTTAACAGTCACCAATGTTTTCCTAGAATTACTGGCAAAAGTGAATGTTGTGTCTGTTCTCATGTGTAGGCGATATAATTGTTCTTCTTATCTGTTGTTTTCGACATCGGTACGTGGTATTTGATATTGGGGCTTCTTTGTCTATTTTCACTATCAATTGAATGAACGCCGTGCACGCGGACAAGTTGTTAATCCCACGGATTACACAAAACAAATTTGGGAAATTAATTTAATTAATCCGTTAACTACATTTAATTGAAGTTGCGCCTCTAATTTGATTATTTGTTTATATTAATGAATGCTGTTCATATTCAAACCAATGGTATATTTCATATCTATATTTACCCACATCCGTCGATTATTAAAGTATATAAAATAACATATCAACCAACCAATCACAGCATTAACTCGTCACCTATCAGGTCATCGTCCTGACAACACTATCGCGAAACCATAAAGTTATATAAAGGTGTGCAGTTAGGGACAGTCCCTTTTCGTTCCCATTTGTGTACCTGCGCATCGCGTTGAAGGACGCTGACATGGAATCTCATTATAATAGAGTTCTGACCGCAAATTAGACCAATGTTAAAACATGCAAAATGTATTTTCGTGGCGGAACAGTTAGGCAGTTGTTAACACCTACCACGTCGCTCACTCCGGTACGTGCCCCCAACAACTTGACGAGTTACTTCAATGACGTGAGCTATGTGAAATGTAAAATTATCAAAATTAAATTTTACGACAAGAAAATGAAATATTCAAATATTGGAAACCATGGCCCGACGTAGGTATGCCTTGAATAGTCGGGTCTGACATGCATTGCTTACTCAGCCCTGATGGTGACTTTAGTGTAAAGCAAATCGTGTTGCTTATATTTGTATGTTGCAAACACCATCCGGGTACTTGGGTGCGACGATATATGCACCGCGACGTTTCAGCGGGTTTCATGTACTGTTTTCAAATAGGGTCCACACAATAAACACTGTTCAACATGTTGTGGCATGGAGTGGTGTATTTTCAACTTAGGATCTCAACTTCGAATGCGTTCTTTATAATCGATCTTGTCAACAACAATTTAGCAAGACTCCAAAATCTTTATCATGCTGCCTATTGTGCCCTCGTGAAAGTTTTAGTGAGTAGGGGCTACATACTACTATACTTTTAAAATACAATCTGTATTGAATATTATTACTAATTATTGTTCTCAATATATTATTTGTAATTGCATAAAATATTAATCTAGTTTTCAAATACATGAGTTCCGCCTTGTTTGTGTTTATCATAAACCTTATTTCATGAATTCGATCGATATATATTTAAGTTCCCATCACGACAGATGAATTCGATGCTGCTTGATCAGATAAATCGGATTTGATCAGTGAGATTGTGTAAAACGACATTAAACCGCAAATTCTAATGTCCTGTAGTTTTTTTTTAAATCCGACGTGTTCATTTACATCAGATACATCATCTGAAATTAACCCGTTGGTGTAAGAGCAAGGCAGAATCGCCGAAGTCGAGCAAGTTGCTCGAAAAAATGGATGAGTTGGTCGTAACTCTGTGACTAATTTATAAGTGTATTACTTTAATCAATTTGAATCATGGTACATCTTGACACTGTAAAATTTGACCAAACCTTAGTTTTAAGCCAATAACTGAAAATTGACGGTCGATTGGGAATAATGCATCTCAGTCTCTCAGTAATTTCAGGTGACGGCCCTAGACTACTTTCTAGTCTAGCTGCATTACTTATTCTTACCCTCCGATTTGTTACGTAGCTTGTGTTTAGGTTGACGGTAATTACTTACATTTGTCAAGGATTCCACTGGAATTGTCCTACAGCCGTACATTGTCAATTAAATTAAAGCTGGTCGACAGAATATTGACGATACTGATAACCTAGAAATTAAAAAAAGATCTTTAACTATAATGACTAGCAAGATTTTAAATATTTCCATGACTCTAATTTTGTTTATTATAAATGAAAACAAGTCTGGTCGCAATTAATAAAAAAATAATTGTACGACCCATCATACAATTAAAATAAAATAGTCAGATGAACACAAAGGTACACACATGTAATTAAAACACAAAAAAAACACAGAAATTAAATAATAAGTTAGGCCTACTTATAATATATATAGTAATCAATAATCACTGATCATGATAATATCTCAACGTAATAGGTAGCATTATTAATTCATTGTATATGTTCACCGGGGCGCGTTATAGCTCGGATGGAATTACGCCAACATCCCGTGTCAAAGACACGTTGCAGCTAGGATGGGATCACGCCAACAACCCATAACAGAGGCTCGCTGCAGCTAGGATGGAATCACACCAACAGCCCATGACAGAGACTCGTTGCAGCTAGGATGGGATCACACCGACGACCCAGGACAGAGACTCGTTGCAGCTAGGATGGGATCTCGCCAACAACCCATGACATAGGCTCGTTGCAGCTAGAATGGGATCACACCAACAACCATGACAGAGACTCGTTGCAGCTAGAATGGAATCACACCAACAACCCATGACAGAGACTCGTTGCAGCTAGGATGGGATCACATCAACAACCCATGACAGAGGCTCATTGCAGCTAGGATGGGATCACACCAACAACCCATGACAGAGACTCGTTGCAGCTAGGATGGGATCACACCAACAACCCATGACAGAGACTCGTTGCAGCTAGGATGGGATCACACCAACAACCCATGACAGAGGCTCATTGCAGCTAGGATGGGATCACACCAACAACCCATGACAGAGGCTCATTGCAGCTAGGATGGTATCACACCAAC